AGGAGGGGGTGATATTGTTTGTTTTTTCTTTGTTCTTGAAGCTTTCTGGGCAAGTGTAGAGAACTTTCCACCCACCTAACTGTCCAAAGACATTGTAGACTAATAGTGCAAAGGAAGAGCAATAATGAGCAATTTTAGAATAAAAGACACCACTGAATAGCGAATGACTGTTTGGTTAGAAAAGTAATTCCAGTTCATTGTTGCAAAGATGTGAACTGTTTCTAGCCTGATTTCCCAAGGGAATTGAGGTTATATACTCTCTCTTCCTTTTCCCTTCCCAAAAATTTTAAACATCTTTGTGACTAGGAAGAGAAAGAAATGTACGACTTGAGAGAAAAGTGGGTAGAAGTCAACCTTATACACTTGTGTTGGCAGGCTGGCAGCCGGCAAACATATGCTGCCTCCTGGTCAGTGTGGATATTCTGAGACACTGCAAACAGCTATGATTATTGTGATGGCATGATACGTGATTGTATGGTTCTGACAAATGTGTACTTGATCTGACTTTATTAGTTCTGCTGCTCCTAGTCCCTCAGTTTGGTCCAGACAACTCCAGAAAGAACAAATTTAGGAATATTTTTTAAATCAGGAAGACATTCCTTGCTCATTTACTTACACACTTTCACTTTTACATATGCACAGAACTCTATAGCATCTTTGATGTATAACATTTCTTTGCGAATGTCTCCCTCCTTAATAACTACTTTGGTGGTGTTCAGTTTGTCCTTAGCATTGTGGTCTAGGTAACTTGGACCAGTAATCTCCAGAGACTGTTAAGGCCTGATGTTCCCTCTCCCCACCTCCCTGCATCTGTCCTAAATTCTTAAGGTGTTTTTTTTTTTTATGCAATTGGATGTTGATACCTAGCTTTCTGGGTTTGCTGAAGTATCTGAGGGAGGGAGGGGGTGGGGAAGAAAGCTTTTGCTCCTTTTGTTTTCTGTTCCTATAATGGTTAGGTGTTTCACGTTCATTATCCTTTCATAATTCTCATATAAGCTATACCTCTGACTCTTCCCCAGTCTCAGTGGACTCTGCTGTAAAGTCATGGGCTCACAGCTGTGCTTCGATCTTAAGGGACTTCTAGACTGGATCACTAGAGCATTGCATACTTGTTTATCATCCACATCATTTCCTGAGACCCAGTGCATTCAACCACTGCTTCAGATTCCTTTCTAGCTGTGAACAGGAAAGAACTGCAGCAACAGAGGAATGTTGCTTCAAAATAATATGCTTCCAAAGAACAGAGCAGTATCCATTAAGAGTTAAATTAGATAAGATGACATGGTTTAATCCTTTAAGTTTAGCACTTCTCTCAGAATTTAATTAGATCTAATTTAGCTTGGCATTGCCTGACTTTTTTTAGTACAGAAGTAGCCTGTTTCAGTCCTAGGGCAGTCCTGTGTTTTTGGCAGTCTTGTTCCAATTATCAAACTCCTATTTCTAAAGAAGTAGTTGCAGAATACACACTGCTAATGTTTTTATCTTTTTACTGTATCTTCATGATTCAGTGTTATCGTGTTTCTGCTGCGGAGCTGCTTTCTTTTTAAATGCTCTTACTAAAAATAGAAAAGCTCCTAGGGCTCTTTCATTCCTTTGTATCTTAAGTAATAAAGCCAGACAGTTTTTTTTCTTTTGTTTTTTAGATGTTTCATATATATGGATTTTATTAATGTATCAGAGACTTTATAATTCTAAAATTCTGCTGATACCTTACTGCCTTTCCTTGTCTTTTGCTGATTGCCTCATCTAAGAATGCTGAGTGCTTTTTTTTCCTCTAAAGATGATTTCTTTTAATCTTGTCAGTTATAGCTTGGAATTTCTGACCTGCGGCTGGAGCTTTTGCTTTTAGATGGTGTATCTGGACATTTGCAGTGCACTTGTTGGATTTCACTAACTGCTCTCATAGTTTGGAGTGACTTGAATAGTTCTCTATCAGGATTTGTTTTACTGCTGCTTATTGGAAGCTTATCAGAGAGTGATACCTTACATATGACTTATAAATTATTCACAAAATTAAGAATTTTAGACTGCATATTTCCTGTCCATCAGATAAAACAATGCAGACCTACCTATGTGCCTACAGAAAAATGGGAGGGCCTGCTTGTAAATAAAATGTTTGTAATTTCCTAAACATTTTCTTCATGGTAATTCTTCTAAATATCAAAATGGTGTAATGCATGTCACTTCCACATAACCATACAAACATTAAGGCCCTTTTTCAAAGGTAGTGTGTTCAATTAACAGTTGTCCTGTGTCTGTGACTTAATTGATAACTGAAGATGTATCCTTATTTTATGTGAACTATATTTTTATTTTAATATTTATCTCCTCTTGAATTTAGATAACATAATCCATGGATAAAGTGGGAAAGATGTGGAGCAATTTCAAATACAGGTGCCAGAACCTCTTCAGTCATGAGGGTGGAAGCCAAAGTGAAAATGTAGTTGTGAACTCCAATAGTTGCTCATCTGCTAAAGAGAAAGCTGTCCAGATAACTGATTTGGCTCAACAACAACCCAGCAGCCCTTTGAGAGAAAACATTGCTTTGCAATTAGGTTTAAGTCCTTCAAAGAATTCGGCAAGGCGGAACCAAAACTGTGTCACAGAAATTCCTCAGATTCTTGAAATAAGCATTGAGAAAGAGAATGACTCGTGTGTCACCACGGGAGCTAGACTTGCTCGAAGGGACTCTTATTCTCGGCATGCTCCTTGGGGTGGGAAGAAGAAGCATTCCTGTCCTGGTCTACCAAAACCCAGAGCTCCTTGGATACTGAAAAAAGATTTGGTAGAACACGAAGTGGTTTGCAGAGGAGAGAGAGAAGGTATGGGGTGAGCTCTGTCCATGATATGGATGCAGTATCAAACAGGACAGTAGGTAGCCGTTCTCTGCGACAGCGTCTACAAGATACTGTTGGGCTGTGTTTTCCTATGAGAACTTACAGCAAACAGTCCAAACCTCTGTTTTCTAACAAAAGAAAGATCCATCTCTCTGAACTAATGCTTGAGAAATGCCCTTTTCCTGCAGGCTCGGATCTGGCTCAGAAGTGGCATCTGATTAAACAGCACACAGCGCCTGTGAGTCCTCATTCAACTTTTTTTGACACATTTGATCCTTCCTTGGTTTCCACAGAAGATGAAGAAGACAGGCTGAGAGAGAGACGTAGACTTAGTATTGAAGAAGGGGTTGATCCCCCTCCCAATGCCCAAATACACACTTTTGAAGCTACAGCACAGGTTAATCCATTGTATAAACTGGGACCAAAGTTAGCCCCTGGTATGACTGAGCTGACCGGGGACAAAAACATAACACCTCCAGGGAACTGTGACTCTGAAGAGGACACAACAACACTTTGTCTGCAGTCACGCAGGCAGAAGCAGCGTCAGATGTCTGGAGAGAGCCACGGCCATATCAGCAGGCAGGGGGCTTGGAAAGTGCATACTCAGATTGATTACATCCATTGCCTTGTGCCAGACCTACTTCAGATCACAGGTAACCCATGTTACTGGGGTGTGATGGACCGCTATGAAGCAGAAGCACTTCTGGAGGGTAAACCCGAAGGCACTTTTTTGCTCAGGGATTCTGCGCAAGAGGACTACCTCTTCTCTGTGAGCTTCCGTCGCTATAACCGATCGCTACATGCACGAATTGAGCAGTGGAATCACAACTTTAGTTTCGATGCTCATGATCCCTGTGTGTTTCACTCCTCCACTGTTACAGGGCTTCTGGAACACTACAAAGACCCTAGCTCTTGCATGTTCTTTGAACCATTACTTACTGTATCTCTGAACAGGACTTTCCCCTTTAGTCTGCAGTATATCTGCCGGGCAGTAATCTGCAGGTGCACTACGTATGATGGAATTGATGACCTTCCTCTACCCTCAATGTTGCAAGACTTTCTAAAGGAGTATCACTATAAACAAAAAGTCAGGGTGCGATGGCTGGAGCGGGAACCTATAAAAACAAAGTAAATGGAAATCAGAATAAGCTTCTAGAATATGCTTTTTTTTGTGTGTTACAGTTTAACTGCAGTGAGTGCACCAACAACGTCTAGCTTTTCTGCAATATCCTGTTTAAGCTGAGTGTTAGTATCCTGTCAGATGCTGCCTGCTGTTAATCAAACTAAGTTGTGATGCCTCTTGGAAACAATAAGCAGACAATTCTGCACGTTTTTCATTAAGGCCTAATGAAAATATTTTTGCTAATTTCTAAATATTTTGTTTCCCTTTTATAGCTGTAGTAATTGGATGAAGAAACTATGAGGCATTTTCCATGGGGTATTCATGTAATGCTAATAAAGAAAGGCTTTATTAGAGGAGCATTTTTGCTAATATTTGAAGTATTTTTGAAAAATTATCCTCTTGAGAACTTTCCACTACTCAAAGTACTAATTTAGCTCACAAACAAGTTTCCAAATACTAGTGAATGAGAGTATTTTCTTTTAATGAAGAGCAGTTCATTAGAAGCAGTTCATTAAGAGTTAATGGTGTTTTGATGCGAATAGATGAATCATGCTTTTCTAAGTGTATAAGGTTTCCTAATCATTAAGACTTGAATATGCCTGCTCAGTACTGTAATTCTGTTTTAAACACTTGGAGATTTAAGTGGCATTGTTAGCAAAAGTGATACTGTCTTGGACAGTTAAATACCTTCCAGTGTGAATTACTGATTCAGTGGCAGGACATGGGATTAGATTATTGCTATGAAACAAAAAGTTTTGGTTTTTTTCTACAACAGCAACACCACCAACAACATTTGGTGGCCTGACTACTAGTAACTTACAATGGAAGGTAATAGTGAAGAGAAAAAAATGTTTAATTATTTAAAGTAGTCTGATATTTTTATGGAGAAAATTACAAGTGGTTGAATTATTATAATCAGAATACAAAATCTGACGTATCTGAAATAAATGTCAGGTTTCAAAGGTACTGTTACACTTTATTTGTAAATATCTTTCCATTTGCGCTTTTTAAAATGTTTTAAAGTAATATGCACTGATTATAGTTTCAACAGATTACTTGGAAACAAGATTCTAAGTTCTGTTTGCTTCTGTAATTGGAGATGGAACTTAAAATAGTTCTGTCTTAGACATTTTTGCACTAAAATTCTGTTGGAATGCCCTGACCCCTGTTTAATGTTTTGTACCAATTATGAGTGCTCCCTAGTTTCTTTACCAGCTGCTACAGTATGTTATTACTTACTTCTCTATGGCAGTGACCTGTGCGAGGTAGGGAACATCTTGGCTGCAAGTACAATAAACGTTATTCTTGTATGCTACACTAACCCTTCTATTGATGTATTTTTCTGCTTGCTGTGCCTTGTTCTGGCTTTTTGTGCTAATAAAGTACAGTATGTTCAGTGTTATACTTGTATATCTGCTCTGTTTTTATATATTCATGTAACTTGTAGCAGTTAACTGAATTTTTAATAGACTTTTCTTAGTACTTAGTATAGGTAATGCACAAATACTGTGCAGTTGAGTATTGGTTGGTCAGCACACCATATTCCTGGTTTTTGTTACATGCTTATCAGAAACCTAACAGTGTACACCATTGAATAATGTTTCTGTAGTCACTGCAAAGTAATGGACTTGTCTGCAGGCATACAGCATTTTACAGTTTTTGTAATGTAAAGGGTAAACGTTAAGCAAGAAGTATTCTAAAACATTATTGATCCCCTGTAATGGTTGCTGAAGGTGTTTCAGTTTGTTATTAAGCTTAGCAGTTAGCTATATGTTTTGATACTCCCCACTGAGTAAGGAATGGTTATTCCTGTAAATTGACAGTATAGCTGTGGCATTTGTTCACTTTTAGACCATTTTAATAAATAGATGTACATGCAAACTGGCCAAATGTCCTGTTTTTACCAAAGAATACTGTCAATTTATGTTGGGGTATTTTTTAGTTAAAAACTTAACGAGTGGACAGGTGCAATTTCTGTTCTATCAAATATTTATCCCAAGCTATGATAAACCAAAGTATTTGGCAACTTCGTTTGAACTTAAGTAATGGATACATTTATGTTGGTAGAGCTTAAAGCTTTTACATCAACGGTATCATTTTTCTTGAGCTCACGATGCACCTGAAGGGGAATGACTTAAATAATTTTGTAATGACTGGAACAGCACTATGTAGAAACTCATACTGCAAGGGGTTAATCTGAAGCACCCAGAAAGCACTTTAAAACATGTGTTTTATGCTTGTGGAAAATTTGTGATCTCGTTATGCATTCTTTGTAGTAGCTTATCTTCTTTCATGTGTTAAAAGACTTCAACTGTTAAAGTGGAACTTTGTTTAGAATATGTAAATACTAAGTTTATGTAAGTATGTGTACAAATGTGCTAATGGTCACTTCAGTTTTGAATTGTGCGTGTGTCATTGGATATGCAATTCCTGGCTTAAAATCTGCTCTGAGCATAAAAAGAGGAAAAAAAGACACCAGCATGAAATTGCACCTAAGTGTACCTTCACTGTGTCGTTCTCACTGTTCCCTCAGTTGGATCTGAATTCCAGATGAGTTTACGTTACATCTTGCTTTCAATATTGGTATCATACAGCCAACTTGCAACTGAGCTTTGTCCCAGTGTAGGGACCTGTTTTTTGTTTACACCCGTTGCAGTTGCTTGTCATAAACTAGCTGATGAGATTCTAGCTGTGACATTATCAATGTGATCAGGAATACACATTCATTTAATTTTTTATCATGTGGTGGAATCTTTGGAGAGAAAAAAAAAAAAATAAAACCCCCAAATCCTTATCTCAGAAAGTTGGCTCTTGCATTTGTGTAAATAGTCTTTATGGAGAGGATTTATTGCTCCCTGAAAACACACAAAGAAGGAATGATCTATTTCTCTACAACTTTTTTAAAGCTTTGCTTCACTGAAATATACAGAGTAACTTGCTGTTGTGGTTATGCTAAAAACAATAACTTTTTAAATTATAGTAGACTTCAGCCTTGACTACCCAAGTTGCAGTGTATTTCTTAATGAATACACTTTCAGTTCTAAGGGCACTAAAACGTTAGTATGTTGAGAACGCAAGTAGTTGATTCCTCGTTTCTGTTTGAGGAGTATGCTTTAACTTTAACCTGATGTTGTTTAGAAAATCTTAACGCATGTCTTCAAAAAATGTGCACAAACCATGGATTTTTACATTGTTTTTAACAATAGGATTCAATGTGGTAAGGTATGCTAGCGTGATTCCAATCTAATTTGGTTACACAACAGATAAGTATTTGCTCCTCAAACTTGTAAACTGTTTTTTCGAGGTAATTCTCATTTCTGCAGAAAGGGCTATAGAAAGGGCTTACTCAGTAGGATTATTTTGCAAAAATTTTACAAAGATCTTTGACCGTATTCGTAGCAAACAGGGTGGTGATTCTATGTGGCAGTTAGAATCTTTGAATACTTAGTGCAACTTGGTGGTTTTGTTGCGTATAAATACATACATCATTATATTTTAGAAAGTCAGCAACAGGTCCAGTTTACCAAGATATGGAAATTAAAATAATTGTAATTTCCGTATAACATGTTATCTAACATTGAAAAATTGTGTAAATAAAACAATGTCATTAATGCACTGACATGTAGCACACGGAGGTTTTTTACTCTGGATTACTGTTTGTAGAACAGAATTACAATTTATAAAATTAGGGCATTAAATGCAAATCCCTAGAAATCTATCTTTGTGTCCTCATGGAATTGGAGAAAAGTAACTACGCTATATTTTGACTATATATGAGGGTCTACAGGTTGGGGTTTTTTATCGCTTTTAAAGGCATAACTCTTTGGAAAATACTCTTAAGGACATGCAGACACTTGTCCAGATAACTTACTTGTCAGAATGAAACTTCTCTTAAGAAAATAAGTTACAAAGCCATGTTTTGCATTTATGCACTTTAAATTTTGTGTGTGTTTGAAGACTTGTTGCATACAAAACAGTCTTTAAATTGGAAGCATGCAGTCTTTGAAAGACCTGTCTGTGTATCTGTAGTGTTTGATAAGATGAACTCAAGCCTTTGCTAGATGTCATCCTGACAGTCACTCATACCCTTTAGTCCTTATTTAATTTTAAGGTTCTGCACTACTTGGAAACATGCAAAGATGCTGAATTTCTGTGATAGAAAATTGGTTTGCTTTAGTATCCATGTGCAAGCCAAAATATTTGCAGAATGCTTTAAAGCTTGTCTCTGCTGCAAAGTTGCCTGTTAAGACTGAAGCTGTCAAGTCAGAATTTGTTGAGTACCAGAGAGATGAATCTGCAGGGAGCATGCTTTTTTTGTTGGGTTTTTTTTTTCCAAAGCTACCTTGAAATACAGTATTTATTGGAAAAATATGAACTGAATCTTCGGTGGTTTCTTTCTAAAATAATAACATTTGTCTCCTTTTAAAACAATTCACATTTAAAATTATGAAAGCACTTTTTGAGTCTCATTTTCTTGAAGTGGTGTTGTGAAATGATCGTGTATGTGCCAAACCTTAGTCTGCAAGAATCTACGTAGCCCATATATATATATATATGTTAATAAGATGCTTCCAAGCATGCGTGCATTCGTGGTCTTTTTTGAAGCTACCTGAAGTACACCAATATGGTGAGCATTAATATATTGGAATTCTAAAAATTCTCTAACTTTCTGTCTGTGCATGGCATGCATTGCAAATAAAGGGACTGTTTTATTTGTATCTTCAGCTGTATTTGTATATTGTAGTGAGTTGATTAGTGTGTGTTCCTGCTATTGCCATACTTGCCTAAACAGTTGTCTCCTGACTGTGACTAAAGGAGATTTTTTTGTTGTTCACATTTCCTTTTTAAAAAAATCTTACAATAGACAGAAATCAAATCAGTTGGCTTTTAAAGTGGTAACTCTTACAAAGCATGGTATAACACTGCTAATTGTTCTCCCTTGTGCAATATTAGAATCATTTAGGTTGGAAAAGACCTTTAAGGTCATCGAGGCCAACCATTAACCTAGTACTGCCAAGTCCACCACTAAACCATATCCCGAAGCACCATGTCTACATGTCGTTTAAACACCTCCAGGGATAGTGATTTAACCACCTCCCTGGGCAGCCTGTTCCAGTGCTTGACAACCCTCTCAGTGAAGAAATTTTTCCCAATACCCAATCTAAACCTCCCCTGGTGCAACTTGAGGCCATTTCCTCTTGTCTTATCGCGGGTTACTTGGGAGAAGAGGCCAACACCCTCGTCGCCACAACCCCCTTTCAGGTAGTTGTAGAGAGCGATAAGGTAACTGATGCACAAAGAATCATTTAGCAGCTTGACCATGAGTAGTGTCTACCAAATGCAGTTGACTTAATGTCTGAATTTTAAGGTTGTTTGGTTTTGGGTTTTTTTCATTTTTTGATTGAAATTGCTACTGACAAGGGCCTTAAAAGAAAAAGACTTGATGTTTTCACAGCAAGATACATAAAGTAAATGTTTTGCAATGAGGTAAGGATCTCTTGAAGATGCTTTTTAAGAAGTTTTCCCCCTCTCACTATGTCTTAAATCAAGACACACTTTAAAAAAAAAAACAAACCACCAAAACTGAAAAACCCACCTCCTGATGACTTTAACATTACAATAATTTAAAGACTGAAAAGAAATCCAGTGTTTTTACTTAATTTGCTTGCCTGTTGCTATACTGATATGAGTAGTTGTTTCAAGAAGCAAATTTTAAA